GAGACGAGCATGACCATAAGACTAGACAAGCTACATCAGGCCATCTACTGGCACCTACACCCAGGACACATCTTCTGAACTCTTCTGTGACTTATGCGGCTTTCACACCGGCGCTTTTCACTTTCTAGCTCCTCGCGAGAGCTTTTCTGGTTCAGCTCCCGTTTCCCTTTTCAGCTCCCGCTCTCTTCACACTGCCCAGAGCTGCCGCTGCTGCGTCATGACGTCACAGTTTACGTCGCTGATTTTCTCCCACAACAACAACGGGCCGGGGACTGCATCGGGTCGATGATCGTGTTGCTTTTAATCATACGAAGCCAGATTAAATTAAATAACGACTTCTCCAACCTTATACTTTTCTCCAGAGTGCCGTGGTTCATTGTTTATTAATGTGTTTCAGCGGCATTTACCGACCGCTGCAGTGCTGGCTGCTCTTCCACGGGAGTTTATTTTCCCGTTAGCTCCGGGTTAGCTCACACGGCTCTAAAATATTCACTGTCTGACTGTCACACAAGCAGCTGATACATATCCCCAGTTCCCCTTAAGTGAATGTGTGTCAGTCTGAATTGACGCTGTTTGGCATCACAACGCTGTTATGAAAGTTTCTCTGGTATAACATGGGTGATGTTAGCATAGCAACCGAAGCTAAACTGACTACTTGCTAAGCCGTTTCCTATAGGCACATTTTACCGGCGTATTTCTCATTATGATTCTACTTCTGATAGTCGGACATGACAACCTGTATAGCCAATGTATCTCCACAATGATCAATAACAGCGAACGGATGGTCAAAGTAAGGTTTCCTGCACGCCTCGACGTAAGAGACGTAAGCGACGCCGCGTCATAGCTCCGAAGCTCTTGCCTCTGGACCGCCAATTTTTTGGAGCTGGAAGTGAACCGCATTCCGGAGCTATGACGCGCCGCCGCTGCGGTGTGAACAGGAAAAACCGGCGCTTTTCAGGCTCTAGCTCCTAGCAGGAGCTGGAAAAGCGCCGGTGTGAAAGGGGTATTAGAGAGCTACAATGGAACTCATTGCCAAACTACCTTGCTGACATAGAGTCCAGAGCCTCTTTCAAGAAGAGATTGAAGTGCCATCTACTAATGAGCATGTACCCCTTGTGAACTGTAAACCCTAATTTAATTTAATTTCATGCTTTGTACTGGTGGGTGTCTTGTGCACTCATCCTTGGCTGAGTTTGATGTTGAAAGTGGATGAGATTGTTCATGATGTGTGTGATGTTGTTAATGATGTCAGGACTTACTGTATGTCTTGAATGTTGTTGTGTTGAGTAGTATTGTTGTATTGTTTTAAGTGTCGGACCCCAGGAAGAGTAGCTTTTGTCAAGAGCAAAAGCTAACGGGGATCCTAAATAAACATACATTACATGTCACTTGTTAGACGCTTTTATCCAAAGCGACTTACATACTCAATACTGTGGCCAATCCCCACAGGAGCAATTTGGGGTGAAGTGTCTCAAGGACACAACGACATGCACCAACGCACAACCCACTGCACCACACGCCTCCGTTAAAGATAAACATAAACATATGTTATTTGTTATATTTTGAACACTAGATGGCGTAATGGGGCCACAGGATATAATTGATGTCCCTGGTACAGGTGGGTGATCTGGGACTGGGAAGAGCAAACTGTTTTTTGACCGTGTTTGTTGGAAAATAAATGGTATTGAAAGCAATGGAGATCACACGCGTCCAACTAGTTTACCCAGTTCAGCCATTCCCTCTGTGATATTGAGTGGCAATAGTCACCACACTACGTTTCAACACACCTACCCACATTGCTTTTTGTTGGGGTTTTTAAACCAGCTAATCATTAGCATCATATAATAGTCAAATAACTGTACGGCACGTTTAGAATTTGATCCTAGAGTGAGCAACATTCATTAGTTTAGTTTTATCAATTGTTGATCTGCAGTTCAGCGTCAAGATACAAATTGATTTGCAGCTTCTTAAGAAAAGCTTATGAATGATTTTAATTTTTTTGTTGTTGTGAGGAAATACTGTATATTGCACCCCTAATCTTTCTTCGTATCCCCTGCAATACCCTCAAGCACCTCTAGGGTTGGGAACCACTGACTTAAAGGACCAGCTTTAGTGACATCCAGTGGTGAAAATGCAGATTGCAACTAAGTGCTGCAAGAATTAGTATCATGTTTCAATGCCAACCTAGAAGGACGCACCCCCCCTAATGCTGCATTCAAAGTCTGCTCGTAAACTCCTACAACTTAAATATTTCCATTTGATCAGCCTTTACTTCCTGTGCATTACATCTCAGGGGCAAACATTGTGTTGCTTCAATTACATGTATCAGATAATACTTGTTTTTAAATTCCTTGCAGATTCATATTTTATATATAAAACACAATCAGCTATGCATTATAGTAGATACGTGAGATCAGGGCCGTGCCTCCCTACAGGCCGATCACGCAGACTGGCGCAATTAGTGTGGCGCGGCACGGTTTCGCCACTGCGAGGCTCCACCTAGCACCCCCCGTCCCCTGTTCAGGAACTAGTGATGCTCTGTATGTGATGACTACTTCCATTCTTGAGAGGATCACAAACACATGGATCCTGAGATTGAAGCTCAAGCCGGTGACCAGTGATTATTAACATTTTGAGAAAAAGTCATAATTTTGAGATTTTTGAGAAAAAGTCATAATTTTGAGATTTTGAGAAAAAGTCAGAATTTTGAAAAAGTCAGAATTTTGAGATTTTGACAAAAATACCAACAAATTCTCTTTTTTTGTTTTGACTACCTCCATTCTTGAGAGGATAATAAATACATGGATCCTGATATTGAAGCTCAAGAGATCTTTCTAACAGATAACACAACGTTTTTTTAAACATTTCCCTGTACCAGTGGGAAATCGGCCAATCATCGTCCTAGACATTTCCTACCTGAGATTTTGTCCATTGCCTCTCCAATGTCTGAAAGAAAGAAAAGATCAATCAGTCATCTCATATCAACAGCAAGCACAACATGATTTAGATCACATGGGTTTTTTCTTATTATAAAGGAAATAAAATACACTTTTTTACAATCTGTTTTTTTACAGCTTTGGCCATTTGTCCATTCAGTCATTTTCAATATACTTTTTTTTTTTTAAAGCCTGGTTGGCATCTTGCTAGGAATCACATGTTCCTACTTTTCCGATACAAATGATGGCCACCACCAGCGTTAGTAAAACTGTAGTACCTCAATCTTAAAATATCATATAATGAAGAATATGACGTCTTCATGAGTCATTTCAAGAACAAATAGAAGTTAACGTGCCATTTCATAAAACCCATAGGTATTAACTATATGTTAGTAGTTATAGTTAATTGCATTTCTCTGTACAATGTTTAACCTTACATTCTCTTCTTTCACCTGCACTATTTTATTCAAATTGATTGTACTCCGTTTCATTTGCACTATTTCAAGTTTTTTATTATATATATTTTTTTGTCTTATGTCCTGTATATATAATATGTTGCATTGTTGGAGGAACCTAAGCTTTGCATTGCCATAACTACACTGTAGCTGCTGTGCACGTGATAATAAAACCCTTAAATCTTGAATCTATACTACGTGTTGCAGCCATTACACTCATATTGGAGTTATGCATAGAAATCTATCATGGCTTCTGGTTGAGAAATGAAAAATTGGAAAATGTCCAATTATGATCAAATAGTTTACACAAGAGACGAGCATGACCATAAGACGAGACAAGCTACATCAGGCCATCTACTGGCACCTAAACCCAGGACACATCTTCTGAACTCTTCTGTGACTTAGAGAGCTACAATGGAACTCATTGCCAAACTACCTTGCTGACATAGAGTCCAGAGCCTCTTTCAAGAAGAGATTGGAGTGCCATCTACTAATGAGCATGTACCCCTTGTGAACTGTGAACCCTAATTTAATATAATGTCATGCTTTGTACTGGTGGGTGTCTTGTGCACTCATCCTTGGCTGAGTTTGATGTTGAAAGTGGATGAGATTGTTCATGATGTGTGTGATGTTGTTAATGATGTCAGGACTTATGTCTTGAATGTTGTTGTGTTGAGTATTATTGTTGTATTGTTTTAAGTGTCGGACCCCAGGAAGAGTAGCTTTTGTCAAGAGCAAAAGCTAACGGGGATCCTAAATAAACATAGATTACATGTCACTTGTTAGACACTTTTATCCAAAGCGACTTACTTACTCAATACTGTGGCCAATCCCCACAGGAGCAATTTGGGGTGAAGTGTCTCAGGGACACAACGACATGCACCAACGCACAACCCACTGCACCACACGCCTCCGTTAAAAATAAACATATGTTATTTGTTATATTTTGAACACTAGATGGCGTAATGGGGCCACAGGATATAATTGATGTCCCTGGTTCAGGTGGGTGATCTGGGACTGGGAAGAGCAAACAGTTTTTTGACCGTGTTTGTTGGAAAATGAATGGTATTGAAAGCAATGGAGATCACACGCGTCCAACTAGTTTACCCAGTTCAGCCATTCCCTCTGTGATATTGAGTGGCAATAGTCACCACACTACGTGTTCAACACACCTACCCACATTGCTTTTTGTTGGGGTTTTTAAACCAGCTAATAGAGTGGTGCAGTGACGAGTCCTAAAACCCAGAAGTGAGTTAGCATTTTGCCGACGTCACGCCAACTTAAGATCCATATTCAAAAATACAGATTCAAAATGGTACAAGTTGAAGCGTTTGTTTGAACAGTCTGCAGGAGGCAGGTACTTGCTTTCAAGCAGAACAGGGCAAACAAACTTAGAGGAGTGTTCACGTGTTCGGCGTAATGACGTACAACGGCCTCCACAACTTCTGTAGTCCTATTCAGCCACTTGTTAACAACCATCGTTTTTCAGACACGTCAACTCTTCAAAAATCACCAGTGGGGTCACTGCTGATGTATTTAATGTCGTAGAACAAGCATCATATAATAGTCAAATAACTGTACGGCACGTTATTATTAAAGCCATACTTACAATATTGGCTGATGGCCTGAAAGAGAAGAAAAAAAACGAGTGTCATTCAGAAGAAATTCATCCATTCAGAGGTAAACCACAGCAATGATTCCTAACCTCTTGAAGGGATAGTTTGAATGTTATTGGTTGGGGTTTATTGAGGTATTTATAAGGTATAGTTAGAGCTTATGGCAAGGTTAAGCACTGAAGATATTCCAAATATACCGTACACTTAGAATTATCTTTCATTATTTACGTTGGGTTTCCCTTTTTTGGGGTGCGCTCCGCCATCTACTGTAACTGATACAATGCCTATAGATAAACACCTCATACAACCCCACTTCTAAACATCCAAACTAGCCCTTTAAAGTCACATGATCAGTTCTCTTCACATTGATTGTGTGTGAAATGGATTACCGGTCCAGGGGAAACCAAAAGAACATCCTTGACCTGAAACCAGGCCGTGTCAATTTGGACAGGAGGAACTTTATCAATAATACTGGAGAGTAGACTTTAAACACTTTTCAACGAATGGCAGGTTTGTCTTATAAGTTTAACTTGAATCTTGTGTGAATTTGTAAGTGTCATTTACTTAAAGCAGGTTTGTTATTCTTCCATCTATTCTTCTCTAATGCACCTTAGATAAAACATCAGTGATCCAAAGCTTCAGCTCAAAAGCATCTATGTTAATAGTTTAATAGCATCCTTCATTTCCTGTTGATTGCACATGCATTGCACATGCACTTTTGTCCCTTCAAAATGCATTTATTGGAATAATAAACCCCAGAGGTCTTCTTACTTCTGTGTATGCGGCACCGACGCTTCCACGGACACAATGATTACTACAACAACTGCAAAAACAATTATTATAATAATAATCATCTTTCGGTATTTCATCCAGACTGAAAGAAAGAAAAGATCAATCAGTCATCTCATCAACAGCAAACACAACATGAATTAGATCACATGGGTTTTTTCTTATTACAAAGGAAATAAAATACTCTTTTTTTACAGCTTTAGCCATTTGTCCATTCAGTTATTTTCAATATATATATGTATTTTTTAAAGTCTGGTTGGCATCTTGCTTGGAGTTACATTTCCGATACAAAAGATGGTCATCACCAGCGTTGCCAGAAGGGAAAAGTAAAACTATAGTACCTCAATCTTAAAATATCATATAATGAAGAATATGAGTCATTTCAAGAACAAATAGAAGTTAACGTGTCATTTCATAAAACCCTAGGAGGAACCTAAGATTTGCATTGCCATAACTACACTGTAGCTGCTGTGCACGTGATAATAAAACCCTTGAATCTTGAATCTATACTACGTGTTGCAGCCATTACACTCATATTGGAGTTATGCATAGAAATCTATCACGGCTTCCGGTTGAGAAATGAAAAATTGGAAAATGTCCAATTATGATCAAATAGTTTACACAAGAGACGAGCATGACCATCAGACTAGACAAGCTACATCAGGCCATCTACTGGCACCTAAACCCAGGACACATCTTCTGAACTCTTCTGTGACTTAGAGAGCTACAATGGAACTCATTGCCAAACTACCTTGCTGACATAGAGTCCAGAGCCTCTTTCAAGAAGAGATTGAAGTGCCATCTACTAATGAGCATGAACCCCTTGTGAACTGTGAACCCTAATTTAATTTAATTTCATGCTTTGTACTGGTGGGTGTCTTGTGCGCTCATCCTTGGCTGAGTTTGATGTTGAAAGTGGATGAGATTGTTGATGATGTGTGTGATGTTGTTAATGATGTCAGGACTTATGTCTTGAATGTTGTTGTGTTGAGTATTGTTGTATTGTTTTAAGTGTCGGACCCCAGGAAGAGTAGCTTTCTTCAAGAGCAAAAGCTAACGGGGATCCTAAATAACCATAAACATATGTTATTTGTTATATTTTGAACACTAGATGGCGTAATGGGGCCACAGGATATAATTGATGTCCCTGGTACAGGTGGGTGATCTGGGATTGGGAAGAGCAAACAGTTTTTTGACCGTGTTTGTTGGAAAATAAATGGTATTGAAAGCAATGGAGATCACACGCGTCCAACTAGTTTACCCAGTTCAGCCATTCCCTCTGTGATATTGAGTGGCAATAGTCACCACACTACGTTTCAACACACCTACCCACATTGCTTTTTGTTGGGGTTTTTAAACCAGCTAATCGTTAGCATCATATAATAGTCAAATAACTGTACGGCACGTTTAGAATTTGATCCTAGAGTGAGCAACATTAGTTTAGTTTTATCAATTGTTGATCTGCAGTTCAGCGTCAAGATACAAAATGATTTGCAGCTTCTTAAGAAAATACGAATTAGGATATTTTGGGTATTATGATATAATATGTTACTAAATGGATTCTAACTTTAAAAAACACCGGTTTCAACCTCCTAATAGCTTCTTCTTTTTTACACGTGAGTACTACTAGGTAAATATCACTTCACAGCCACTATAGACAGAAGGTTTTCACATGGCAATGGCTTATTAATGTAGATATTGGAAAACTGTCATCTGAAAATAGAAGGTTATTATTAAAGCCATACTTACAAGGTCGCCAGCGGAAGACCTGAAAGAGAAGAAAAAAAACGAGTGTCATTCAGAAGAAATTCATCCATTCAGAGGTAAACCACAGCAATGATTCCTAACCTCTTGAAGGGATAGTTTGAATGTTATTGGTTGGGGTTTATTGAGGTATTTATAAGGTATAGTTAGAGCTTGTGGCAAGGTTAAGCACTGAAGATATTCCAAATATACCGTACACTTAGAATTATCTTTCATTATTTACGTTGGGTTTCCCTTTTTTGGGGTGCGCTCCGCCATCTACTGTAACTGATACAATGCCTATAGATAAACACCTCATACAACCCCACTTCTAAACATCCAAACTAACCCTCTAAAGTCACATGATCAGTTCTCTTCACATTGATTGTGTGTGAAATGAATTACCTGTGCAGGGGAAACTCCAAGAACATCCTTGACCTGAAACCAGGCCATGTCATTGCGGTTGCAGGTCAGCATTTTGCTCTCATGGAACAGAACGTCTACGGTGACGATGACATTCGGGTTTTCCACGAGTCTCCTGCTTTCAGGCACAAAATGATCTTTGTCGTAGGTGTGATGCATCACCACCAGAAAGATTGGTTTCCCACCTGTGAGCACAGAGATAATGTTGGGAAAATACTGAAGGTACTCTTCCAATATCAGAGTACACATGATAACAAAGGTTTCCCAACTGTAGCTGTGAACATGACAGGATGTATGATTACCTAGAAGAGCATCAGGACTGTTTGAGGCATATGATAGCTATGTGATTAACATGATGATTCAGCCTCTATGGAGATAGACATATGACAAGCATGATCATTTCTGACGTGGAGCTAATCTGAACTAAACATTGAATACAGCTTTATATTCCTCCATCTTGTGACTGTGTAACTCCCTCTCTTGGATATCAGCATGTGAAGGACACTGTTCAGGAACTAGTTGATGCTCTGTATGTGATGACTACTTCCATTCTGGAGAGGATCACAAATACATGGATCCTGAGATTGAAGCTCAAGCCGGTGACCAGTGATTATTAACATTTTGAGAAAAGTCAGAATTTTGAGATTTTGAGAAAAAGTCAGAATTTTGGAAAAAAAGTCAAAATTTGAGATTTTGAGAAAAAGTCAGAATTTTGAGATTTTGACCAAAAGTCAGAATTTTGACAAAAATACCAACAAATTCTCTTTTTGTTTTGACTACTTCCATTCCTGAGAGGATAATAAATACATGGATCCTGATATTGAAGCTCAAGCCGGTGACGAGTGAGATTTTTCTAACAGATAACACAACGTTTTTTAACATTTCCCTGTGTACCTTTGAATAACCAGTGGGAAATCGGCCAATCATCGTCCTAGACATTTCCTACCTGGGATTTTGTCCATTGCCTCTCCGATGTCTGTTCCAACTCGAGACGCGATGGGACAGAAAAGCACCAAGTAGTCACTTTGTTCAGGAGAGATCACCTCGATTTGACCCATCCCTTTGAGGTCATTAACATAGGTCTGATGAGCACCGTTGGTACATCCTGCCACGGAGACATGGAATTTCCTCCCCAGCACTAAACACAGAGAAGATTTGTTTTGAGTAATTTTGTTTAGATTCATACCACAAACCCAGATGCAGAAGAACCGTGTCCAAAAGTGTGACTTAAAGTTTCAAAAGCCACCAGACTCCATTGCAAAAATACAGAAGTGAAGTTTTCACATCTTCCCATAATATAACGGACCAATATGCTTGCTTTTGTTCTGTTTTTACCTCTATGTCATTATTAACGACCAGAGATCCAGTTGTAAAGGTGTATGTTGGTTTATCACAACAACCAACTCCTATCTCACTGCATTTTATCCGTTAAACCATTAAAAAAGTATCAGAAATATTAGCAAAGCAGCTTTATTTTAATGACTAAATGTAGTGTATTGTCTATAATACTGGAATATTGCAGTCTTGAAAGAACACCATGGTGGAAAAGTACTTATTTTGTTCACTTAAAGGCAACTTTTTTGTCTCGTGTTCCCCTTGTGCTGGTCACTATTCTATACGAATCACTGTTATCTGTGATTAAATAAGATAAGATGTACTCTCTTGATCCCAATTTGGGAGATGTTTGCGTGGCAGCAGCATAAAAGACAAGGCGTTGCACATAAGAGAAATTAAAAGGGTAGAAATAAAGAATTTTAAAATGTTATGTTAAACGTTTTGTTATTGTATTTAACCCAACTGCTCCTTAGATGAAAATCACTTGTATACCTCACTCTTAATACAAATGTATTTAAACTTGACATTTACACTTATTGTGAGTGAAAAATAATAATATTAAGACTCACTTCTAGCAGTTTCAACATCTATGTTAAGAGCTTTTATTGAGACACTTGACACTTGCTTGTCTTTCATAAGCTTTGATAGTTCTGGGGGCGGGACACCAGGCTTATGAAAATTGATTTTAAAATGTTTTTTTGTGTGGAAATACTGTATATTTCAATCCCTAATCTTTCTTCCTATCCCCTGCAATACCCTTAAGCACCTCTAGGGTTGGGAACCACTGCCTGAAAGGACCAGTGTGTAGCTTTAGTGACATCTAGTGGTGAAAATGCAGATTACAACTATGATCTGCAAGAATTATTATCATTTTTCGATGCCAACCAAGAAGAAAAAAGCCTAAAAAAAAGCCAATTGAGGGTTTCCATTGGAATTATGAATATTGGGGAGAAGCTTCGTAGCAAGCACAACGTTATGATGGTTATAAATTTAGTCCAGCAAGATCAAAGCACAACCTTCTTCATAATCATGTGATTGTGTAAATATTATATTCCATTTCTGACAATAATTCCGCCCTGTCCTACACATAGGTCCTTCAAGTTAAAGTGCCCACACCCTGAAACTAAATTAAAGTCGTATATTTAAAGCTGTGTGTGAGTATTAGCAGCAACTGAGCTTTGAATTTTGAAAGTGAAAGTATTCATCGTGCAGTAAAATGGCCCCTCTTAGGGTGTTACTGTTATATAACACAGGCTGTATATCCTGCTAATCCTTACATTTGACGCGGATAAATTGACATGTAAAGTCATCACATTTAGAGACACATGCTTTTCTTTAGACAGGAAGGACGAATTGTAATCTGTAAAGTCATTAAAAATGTCGTAAAAAAATAGGCCACCTCTGAAATGTGTACAAAGTTGCAAGAATGATGAGTAAATGTGTACATGTAGTTCATTTCTAAAGACACTTCTTACCCTGTTTCTGTCTCTGGCCGTCCATGTTTCTGAGGAAGATAAATGGAAACCTTTAGTACACACACTTCAAACATGCGTCACAAACACTCTTCTCTATCTCTTAAAAAAG